TGAAGACAGACAAGGAAGTAGGAGTGACGAACTATTTTAGAATATTTAGTCACTGAAAACCTATGAATAGCAGAGAAACATTGTCAGATATAGTGCCAGAAAATGAGCCCCTCACATTGTAAGGCACTCAAAATGCGACTGGGAAGAGCGGTCTTCTCAAAGTACAGTCCATGATGATGCAAAAGGAGTAAAGCCCATGGGAGTAAAGCCTATGGGACTGTCATTTGCTGATGGGGCACAACTCAAAATGAAGAGAAACAGCTGTAAACATCTATTAATAATCAGAACATGGAATGTACAAAGTATGATCCTGGGAAAATTGGAAATCATAAAAAAGGAAATGGAACGCATAAACGTCCATATCTTAGGCATTAGTGAGCTGAAACGGACTAGTATTGGCCATTTTGAATCTGACAACCACATGGTTTACTATGCCGGGAATGACAAATTAAAGAGGAATGGTGCATTCACTGTCAAAAAGAACATATCCAGATCAGTCATGTGGTACAAAGCTGTCTGTGATAGGATAATAGTCATGCGCTTACAGGGAAGACCAGTTCATACCACTATTATTCAAATTTACACACCAACCACTAAAGCCAGTGAGGACGAAATAGAAGAATTCTACCAACTTCTTCAATCTGAAATTGATCAAGCATGCAATCAAGATGTATTGATCATTACTGGTAATTGGCAAAGGTTGGGAACAAATTACTGGCAAAGGTTGGGAACAAAGGGGAAGGATCACTAGTTGGAAAACATGGCCTTGGTGATAGAAATGATGCTGGAGATTGCATGATAGAATTCTGCAAAATCAATGATTTGTTCATTTCAGATACCTTCTTTAGACAGCATAAGAGATGATTATACACATGGACCTCACCAAATGGAACACACAGATATCAAATTGACGTATGTGTAGTCACCATTTATGTTGCTGAAAAAAAAGTATTTGCAATGAATAAGTCGTTGATCTTGGAAAAGATAAGGGGGCTATGAATTCATCCTTTTCTCCTGAAAATTCTTTATTTTGAAAAATAATTTCAGCAAGTTTTTATTTCTGGAATAGTTTAGAAAAATTGCTGGAATTGTGTTATAAACTTCTGTGAGTCTTCTACATAGATTTACTAGTAGTTAATATTCAGCATTGGAGTCCTGATGTGGCACAGTGGGTTAATTTACCAGATGGCAAAGCCATTTGAACTGCAAGGTCAGCGGTTCAAGTTCACCAGCTGTTCCTTGGAAACCCTATACGGGTTGCTATGGGTCAGATAGCCTTTAACAACAACAACAACAACAATATTCAGCAT